ACTGAAAGTGTGCGTGTTTCCACGGAGAGGCGTAGCTCCCGGTCTCGTTCCTCCTGCTAAAATGGCATGACCAAGAATTTCATAATCTCACAGTCAGGCTCAGGTTGTAGATTACCGCCACAGGTGGTGTGAGCTTCCACAGAGTGTGAATAGGAACACGAGGATTATGGGGAAAAAACGGATTTTAATCATAATACTTTAGACTCCATCAAGGCCAGTCAATTACTGACAGACGGCCCCGGCAGACACACGTCCATAGAGAGGGATAGTAAAGTGTGCGCGTGTTAAATATTTGAACAGGTGCCAAAGAAACAAGCAACATATGCACAAAGTCTGTTCTTTTGCTCTGATCGTAGTGGGTTTGAAGCTAAACTGTGAAACAAAACGGTCTCCTGCGATATATCTTTCAATCAGCAATTATTTTTGTCTCACTACAACCTACATGAATATCAACACAGATGGAAACGATGGCAAAGTTGTATTATGTTAGTCGATTGTGGTGTTCGTTTACGTTACAGAAGAAACGGTCTGAGTGTGCATATCTCAAACCAAGAAATGCCGCAAAAATATACAAATTAAATGAAAAATGTCGTTTTTATGTAATTTAATTTATATAGCCTAATTAAATTATACAAATGATTTTCATTGCAGTATTATACACACCTATTGTAGGCTATTCATTATTTATTTATTTTTGATAAATTACATTTTTTTTAACAGAATTTTAATTTTCAGGTGAACCATCCTTTTAATGATCCTAAAACAGCCTTCTATAATTTCTCGTTTTTTTTCTTTTGATTTTAAAGTGGCCTCCATTTCTCCATGAGCTAAATAAACTTTTTATGATGCATTGACCTAATAAATGAAAAACATTTATATGTATTTAGTTTAATTATTTATTTCCATTTAATATTCAACAGATTGCTCACAGTCTATCCTTTAGCTCTTGGAAATGTCTCATTATAATGTGACCATGACAAAGGAATTTATAGCTATAAAGTCTTCCTTTTTTTTTTTTTTTTTTTATAAATATCCTCCAGGTATGCATCTAATTTGATATTAATCAGTCATGTGCATGAATCACGCACAATTATTTCAGTGCACATATGCTTCATTTTAAGAGAAGCATAGAACTGTGGTTCTCTGGTTTATGCTTATCACATTTAGAAAAATCAATAGTTAAGCTAATGTATTATATTTGTATTATGTACTTATTAATTATTAAACACTTGTGTCTTTATGATACTTCAATTGGAGCCATTTAATAATAGAAATATGACATGAGAGGCTGTACATTACAGTCATTTAACAGGAGTCAAAGGGAGGTTTAGCTAATCAGCTTCACTTTGTATTATAACACACCACCTCTCATTATTGCTTTAATAATCCTATGTCTCAAGGTTTCTTTTAAATAAAGGAAGATTAAGCCATACATCTGCATTCTTACCTCTGTCACTGTTGTTATTTAGCACATTGAGATGTGTTAACTATGCTGAGGAGGATGATGACAGCTTTCTAACATCTTTTTGTCAAGCTGTGATTCTCACTCCATGTGTTATAATTAAAGCTGTTGGGGATTGTCCGGTTAATGCTAGATAGCCTACTCTCTCTGATCACATTTTGCTTGTCTAGAGGTCATATTGAAAGTTGATTAGCTTAATTTGATCTATTATTTGAACTTGACATAAGTCATGAGGTGAGATATTTTACTGATCAGCAACACATTGTTTTCTATGGTCTTGGCCGATTAGCAGTTAGCAACTTAGATTTTCTCTCAAAGCAGTTACAGATTGCAGTGTCAACATTGCTTGGAAGAAACAAGAAAATGGTAAGAAACACAAAGAGCTGGATGCAAAAGAACTTAAAATGGATGAAGAAATTAAGGGGTATGAATACTTTCGCAAGGCACTGTATATGCCAGAAACCCATCACCTCAGACTTTTTCCCTTTCCTTTTTTCCTTTCCTCCCTTGAGTTGGAGTAGCAAGAAGGTACATGATGGACTGTGGTCCTAAACTGCAGTATAGTAGTTACTTTTTTTCCCTTGTAGAGATCTTCTCTGGGAACTCTTTTCTTTGAGAGATTTCTACAGCCCTCAGAGCTGTCTGGGCTCCAATTAGTTGCCTTTAATGGTCAGCAAGGGCACTAGAGGAACCCTCATAAGGTTCTCCAGCCAAGCAAGAGAAATGAAAGCGTGTGTCTCTCATCTGTGCTGGACTGTCATATGTTTCTTTACCTTATTATATGGTCTCACACTCAGTCTCTTCCATTCTCTGTCTGTCTTTTGTTCTGTTCACTGGGTTGTTCCTGTTACGCAGTTGCTTTTGAACTCTGTAACTTTAGAGTGACAAAAACAAAATTAAAACAATCAAAACATGAGGGTCATTAAATCTTTTGTTAATACTTTAATTGTTCTTTCCATTTTTCCCTCTAAAATTATGACACTTCCTAGAGGATGATGTTGTTAAAGTCGTGAGGGGACAATTTAACAATTATTTTCTAAATGCATGTTTTTGATCTTATTGTGAATGATTCATCTGTGTGTGTGCGCGTTTCTTTTTATTTCTTGTAATTTTTCTGGTGAAAAGGCAGACTTGTCTCTGTTGATGTATGAACTTCTCAAATTATTAAGTCTTTTTTTTTTTTCGATAATCCATTTGCACATTTTCAGATCTTCTTCATAGTACGAAAAAATGATCTGCCATTACTTATTTCACAGCACAATTTTTTCAAGTTTTTTGTTCCTTAAATGCAAAGCAAAAGGCTAACGTGTGAGATAAGCTTACAGGGTTAACATTTAGAAGTTAGCGTAGCACCATTAGCCTAATTAGCACAACTAGTAAAAAATGCAACATACATTCAAACCAGAGTGCTTTTTTTTTTAATTCACCCCCTTTGTTCACTTAATTGGGAATTAATATGGTTTACATCTTCAAAAAGTGTGAATTTAAAATTCAAAGTAATATATTATGACTTAATGTATGATGAGGAACGTGAAAATGTACTGCATAACAAGATGATAATGGTCTCTTGGTGCGGTTGTTTAATAGACCAGCATCTCACAAACATGATTTGCAATTGCCCTTAGCACTTGGATTATGTTTTATGGTATGGTTTCAAAATAGATTAGTACTTTAGCTTTTAAAGTACAAATCTATGTGTAGGTGGATGGGGTGTCCTTTGTATGGTGACCTGTATTAAAGAGCACTCCAAAACCCGAGAGAAAAAAAACTGCCAGAGACTCTGCAGTTTTCGTTGGGGCTTTGAAAGTGTTCTAATTTGGGAATCTAATCACACTCTTTCAAACAGTTTTAAAACAGGTGCGTGCACAGAGCTTTATAATCTTGCTCCACAGGAAATTAGGCCTTTAAAATGCTAATTGGCACTCAGCTTCCTTCAACTGGAACTGGATTGTAAACTATGTCATATTGTCTATGTAAACTTGGAACTGCAAAACCGTTCAATGAAAATATGAATGGTTTCATGCTCTGCTTGCTTCCACGAAGGTGGGTATCCAGGAAACCGTCGCTATAAGCCAATGCCTGAGTTTTGCAACTTACCAGGAGCTTTCACCTGCAAATTTAAGTGCCAAGCAAACTCTCGGAGGATTATAATGGTGTATCTTTGTTTTGCATCCCAGCAGGCACTCTTAAAGATTAGAGGCGATGCTGTCAGGATAAACAACACACCCACTGGAGCATATGTTTGGGCCACGGGCAGCTCATTGAGGATGCAGCACATGTTAACAGCCACGCATGAACTTTGGGAATGCGAGTATTGTAATTTAGGTCTTCAGAAAGAGCTTAAAGGGTTAATCAAATTAGTCAAGAGCTGTCATGTGAATGTATAAGAATAATTCATTTGGACAAACTTAACAAATGGCTGAACGCAAGTCGATATTACTTTAGGTTTCAGTGAAGCACTGACAAGTTCCATACACTTAGATTTGATTGCTCATAGGTGCCACACTGAAACCTCTAATTAGTTAACGGTTCATTAAAACCTATTTTTGTTTTCAGGCCTAATTAGTTCACTTATATTCTTGTCAATTCTTAGACTTGACTTGTGCATCTTGCCTTAAAAAACTGGAACTACAATCTCCAGTGGTGTGCTGCTGACATCTAGTGGTGAATACTGAAAAATATATGAACCTAGTGTGTATATGAACTCAGTCTAAGGAAACCATAGAATCTGGCTAAAGATAAAACTGTCATCAAGCAAATTATTTTTTTCACAACAGAGTGTAACTAACCTTAATAAATAAACCAAAACCTTTAAAACCACTGCCTAAACTACCATACAAACAAAGCAGGAATGTAATATAGGTATGGTAAACACTAACTGATAGTTTTACTGCCTCTAAAGATTGACCACAATATGTGCGTGTGAGAAACAGGAACACACCTGGGTTGTTCAGTCAGACAGGGCATTAGAGAGCACTCTTATATTGCACTAATGTTGTGAGCTACATAAAGCAACTGGAGAAAAGACTCATTGGTTTGAATAGCACTTACATGGTTCTTGTGATGGTGGTGTGGATGTTAAAACCTCATGTTGAGTACACCTTCAAGTAAGCAAAATGATTCCAGTTTCCTAAATAGTAGCACCTTTTCCAAGAACTCTCTTCACGGTTATTTTCATGTCAAACAGGTGTTCTGAATTACATTCAGTCAGATTTGAAACACTGCCCCCTATGTGCAGTAAAATCCCAACTGTGTCTCTCCTTTTGGACCTTGAGTGATCCATGGTCCATGTGATACGAATTTTACAGGCAACAACAACAGTCTCTGTCTGCAAACTTTTTTTGGAGCTAAATTTAGCGCTGGGTTAAACAGAACAAGGTTGCTTAGCTATTGCGTACAAATTATACAACTTACAAAGACTTTATAAGCTATAGAAAACATGAAATGTTGAGCAAACAATATCAGGAGCAAGGGATGAATGGACCAGAATGAAGGGACAAAAACGAAGGTCTTTCTTAGGGAAGGTAGGTCAGATCACCGTCCTGGCTTCCTGTTGGCCTGCACAAGGTCACCCAGAGGACCCGGTACCCAAATGTTGCAGGCCAAAGGTGTAAAAAACACCAAAATCCCTGAACGTGTGTTGGTGCGTGCACTTATTTATATATCTCTGAACGTCCTCCTTCTTTGGGACATGACAGGTGCCCCCCAGCTCCACCTGTCCATCCTTTTCCACAGCCACATGGACAAATCCAGAAAGGGATCAGTCATTCAAGAAATGGCATGCTGAAGTGCCACGGGGCCACGGAAGATCTCTGGATACCGGATCAGACGCAGCTGCCCCCCGGCTGCTATTTTCACTCAGCTTAAAGTACTATGGGCAGCCAGCATCTACGCCATGGACTACCCACAACTACCAGTCTGTCTCTGCACGCCATGAAGTCCACTGCAGGGGAGCACGAGCATCACGATACCCAGAGCTTGCCCTCTGACCCTGATGAGCTCGACAGTGGCAGCGAAAGCTCGGAGAAATCCACTGGCACAGGGAGCCCCATGCAGGGCCACAGGGAGGCGAGGAGATGCAGAGGGGGTCGTAGACTTGCAGGGGTGAGCAAACAACGTCAGGCAGCTAATGCTCGGGAGCGAGACCGCACACATAGTGTCAACACTGCCTTCACGGCTCTGCGTACCCTTATCCCCACAGAGCCGGCCGACAGGAAGCTGTCAAAAATCGAGACCCTGCGATTGGCATCGAGCTACATTTCACACTTGGCCAACGTGCTTCTGCTAGGGGAGGACTGCATGGACGGGCAACCATGTCTGAAATATCATAACATCTTACAAAGCAACACCAACCTCAAAACTCCACCGGTTCGACCCATCTGCACCTTCTGCTTGAGTAACCAGAGGAAAATGGTGAGTCCTTGAAGGTGGTGAAACTATGACCTGCCAGAACTTTCCAGAAACTGACAAATTTGGTCATGTATTTACATGCCAAACTTCATATTACTTGCTAGAAGTACCTTGCCTCTACCTTTTCCTGAATTGTTCTCTTAGGTGATCAACTGCAATAACGCATACCTACATATTTTGCATATAATTGTAAACCGATTGCTGTGCGGGTATGAATTCTAACACCTTTCAATTATCATGTACTTCTGCAGCTTAGAGATGTGGAAAAGCACACAACTGGGTGACAGCAGAAGTTCTCCCGACTGTCCGCTACTCAACTTCTGAATGTTTACATGTAATGAGACATTGCCTTGCACAGAGACAAAACTTTTTTTTTTTTTTTCCATCTCTTGAGGACAGACAAAACAAGCAACAAAGAGAGAGACGAATCTGCACTTTTTCTGCATGTGTGTTCACTTTATCAACTGTGTTTTGGTTAATGTAACCGGAGAATATGTGTAAAGTTGCACCTGGTGGGAGGCTATTTCAGTATCAGATATAGTAAACTACACCATCCCTCGCCTTAAAAAACAGTCTTGTGTCCGCCTCTTGCACATCACATGATGGTAATTGAAACCTTGCGGTTTGCAGTGGTCACTGTCAGTACAACGGCGGGTAAAAATCGCATCCCCTCCCTCTTGTCTCCACATCTACGCCGGGACCACGATCCCAACATGGCTCTCATGAGACTGTAAACAAGATTCTAACCTCAGCATGATAATTTGGGTTGGGCAAAGCATGCTAAATATTTATTAGAGAGTTCAAGTGGCACATGACTGAATGCTATCGGTGGAAGTATTTCATAATGAGAAGAACATAATTTGACATGTCTTGGGTACTGGTTTTGGTCAAGGTACATGATCCCTAATACGAGCCCTGGGTTATGACCCTGACCCCAAATGTTATATAGCCTACCCTAAGAGGGTAGGAAGAGGGTACATCGTGGTCTCTTCGTAACAACAAAGGGCATGCTTATGCTTCTGAATCATAAAACACCAAATTCATTCTTGTAGATTTTACTAAACTTGCGTGACGGAAGGCCATTTGAGCACAAGTCCAACTCACGAGTGTCAACATCAAGACAGAAGCTTGTTGCATTACATGCAATTTAAGACATTTCTGTTGTTGTCGATGAACTATAGCTATGCAATTGTATTTTCTAGAAATGCATGCACAAAGCTATATTGACTCGTATGTCAACATGTTTTTTTTTGTCCACTGATTTGTACCAAATGGAACCAAAATTATGTATGCGATAGTGGTCTTTTGAGATAGTAGATGAAAGTTTCATCTGGGAATTTCATTGGCTATTGCTAACTGCCGCTCGCTTGACTTAAAAAAAAAAATTGATTTCAGAAAGTGTTCCAGAATGTGTTTCCCGTTGACTAAGATCTAGGGGAAAGGTCCCAGAGTGTGTGCTAATCTCAAGTACACCACCAAAACCTCATCTGCTGAACCTTGTTTTATTGTTTACATTAACAGAATTAGTAGGGACAACAAATTTGAGCCTAGCATTTACTGTGATTACAATTTTATTTTCAGATACTGCATATGCGATGTGAACATTTAAAAGTAGAATTATTTTTGTGTAAGCATCAAGATGTACCAACCAGTTGTTTATATCCAAAATGTTTACCTGCATGGGCTTGCACAAATCAAAACGTCAGCTTATAGGTTTGTTTGAATCTGCAGACTGTGTAGAAGGACTCTTCCTTGCATTAAAAAGTAGTTCTTTTTTCAATACAGATGTAAATAAAGAGGTGCAATGGAATTACCACATAATGTACTGGAAATATTGTAACATGGCAAGGCTTATGTAAATTGTTTGTAAATATTTGCACTTTAACATTAAAAATTAAAAGGTCAAAACGCACTATACCAATAATATGGCCTACCTTTACAACATTTTGAACACAAGCCTGTCGTATTCTAATACTTGAATTGTCCGCTCTTCTAAAAGTGGTCTTTTGCACATGTCAAACATCAAACAAGCTGCTATTTAATCAAGTATTTTTGTACAAGAAAAAATGTCTGTACTCATGACTTTCAAAACCATTAAATTATTTTCGAAAAATGTTCTGAAAGTAGTTCATCTTTGGTTTTGAGGTGCCCCCTAGTGGAAGTCACATTACATGCAATTTTAAAATGGTGGGCAAATCTGATTTTGCAATTATTCCAAAAACAGCACATTAGATAAAACAAGAACCACACAAAGCATATACTTCTAGGTCTTTATTTCTTAAAAAAAAAAGTAAATTAGTTATTCAGATTAAAGAAATCGGTGACAAATAAGATGGAGATACATCATAGAAGTTGGGAGTCATTTAAGGGTCTTTACAGAGTGATCAGCAAATTTGTTTTGAGCGCTGTACAGTTTCATAGGCAGGGAACAGAAAGCTGATGGATGTTATGGGAGAAGGACTTGACCCTTTGGCAATAACATCACAATGAGACAAGGTGACCGTTTTTCCCCTTTGTGGACACTGATCATGACAGGGCATGAAGGCATCAATACCATATAGAAAAGGGCATCTTAAAAGCAAACAAGGCAGCCTGATCAAACTCAATGGAATGTCCATTCATAAAGGAATCATTATACCAATAATTTAAGATGTCCAAACTGTCTCAACACTTAAAAGTTCCTTGAGTGAGTAAATAATTACAAAGGTTGACCACAACTTTTGTGCTATTTTAAGTGTAAACCTCAATATAAGAAAAATCTGTTAAAATTAACCATTTGTCATAAAGCCCTTAAATGACATCTAAATGTTATGGTTTGAAAACGAGGTAGAATCAAAAAAAAAAAAAGGTCACAAAAAAAAAAAATGTGTAAGACAAGCACTGCTGTAACAAAACATTCTGTTGACATGGTGTTTTAGTCTCCCTCCTCTTCCTCGGATTCAGACTCTGAAAGAAACAATTTATGATTTCAGAAACCATTTTAATTTGAAAGTTTCAAAGAAAAAGAAAAACAAACTTACCCTCCTCAGCGTTCTTCAGCCATTCTACAAACTTCTTCATCTGCTCGAGGAAGACGCTCTTTCCTTTGGCCATGTGGGCTTCAGTGTACCACTTCAAAATTACCTCCTCGCTCAAAACATCAGCTACAGGCAAGACAAAAACACACGGGGTTAAAGCAAAAAAAAAAAAAAAAAAAAAACC